AGTTTAAATCTCAAATCACAACTTTATGTTTTAATAATTCTTTATCATAAATCAACATATATCAATTTATACAAGTTCTTAGCAATAGGTAATTTTATCATTTAAAAAAATAAATATAATACAACTTTTCTTAAATAGAATATGTAAGATGATTGTCATATTCTATGTTACATAACCAACTAATTACCTTTAATTTTTTAAAAACAATTAGATTTCTAGTTATTATAAAATTAGTGGCAACTCCTTGCTCTTATTCTACCCTATTTATCATAATCAAGCTTTTCAAGATACCCTATGCAAGTTAATAACCTTTTTTTAAAAAAAAAATTATCCAAGTAAAAAACCAGCTTTAAGCACTTGATTATTTTTTTAATTAAAAAACATGTTATCAATATTGATCTCCACATAGCAATATGAGATAATTATCTAGTTTTTTTAATCTAATTATATTTCTTCTTGTATATAATTTGATGGCATGTTTAGTTAGAACTATTATAGTGCATTTAATGACATAATGGGTCCTTTTATAACCTTATATGATATCTTATTGCCCTTTAGTTTATTTAATTAATTTTCATGTGTGTGTTTTTTTTTATTATCATTTAATTTAGTAAGAAATCAATTCTTGTAAACAGATTCGTTGAAGACAACCATATTAAAGATTTAAATTATGAGGTTAAATATCTTGATCTATATTGAATTTTTAATTTTTTTTATATAAAACATAAAAAAATATAGATGAATTAGAAAAATTTCTCCACAATCATATGTATACAAAATAATTAAAAAATAATTGTTATTTAAAAGAGATTAGATAAACCAAAAAAAAGAAGAGAGTAACAATATTAATTAAAATAAAAATTTAAAAATTATTTGGAAGAAATACATATAAAAAGGTATAAATAAAAAAACATTAAAAAAAGTAAAAGACCAGACGCTGCAGGGTTTGATAAGTTAAGCTAATGTGCTTGGCCCATCTAGTAAAAGTTCAAGCACGGGCCTCAACGAGTAAGCCCTTGGGCTCTTAATTTTATTTTTTAATGTTATCTGCCCTAATTGTTTTCAAGAAAAAAAATAGATGATGCATCATAAGACAGATGATATGTTGTTTGATATTGTCCAGTTTCTACTGTAGTGAAGCAAACAACTTGTTATCTGATATTGTCTAGTTTCTAGCCATCATAGTGGCTGAAAAATCAAGAGCGAATTTTTTTTATCCAAAAACTAGTTTTTCAATTCATTTTGACCTAAAATATTTTAGACAACTTGATAAATTCATTTGTGACCTAAAAAACCATTTCAAAAATCCAAAATCAACCCAAAATGAATAAATAAAAATCTTATTGAGCTCATATATATTTTTTTAGGATTTTAAGGTAAAAAAAAAAAAAACATTTCAAACTTGTGAACTAGCTCATGAAATTAAGATTAACTTATAAAAAAATAATTATAAATCTTATTTCTCAAATAATTCAATGTTGAAGGATAATATTAAAAAAAAAAACACAAAACAAAAATAATCATCAAAAGAATGAGGATCAAATTTAATATAAAAATAAAATGACATGATGCTTTTCAATTTCAGCTAGACCAACACAAAATCTAAAGAAAAAAATGTCATCAAGTACTCACCACTGCTTAACTCGTAATTGTTTTACATCAACAGATTTTATTTTATTTTATCAAATTGAGCATTAAACAAGCACCGAATTAATCTTCTTTCAATATTATGATATCATCATATCTAGAAAACCAAAACTAAATACTAAATAAAAATAATTTAAAAGAATCAAATTAAAAAAAAAAATTGAGTAACAAGAAAAAAGACATGGACTCTTCCACTACTTATGCAAATCAACTCATGATATTTGCAATAAAAAACAATTGAACATATGTTTAAGTTTCAAATTCTACCATCAAAATTCTAATTCTTTTAAATAAATAAAATTGAATTTTATTTTGCTAAATAGAGTAATATTATATTTTCTTAATACTATAAAATCCCATATGCAGATATAAAAAAATTTACCTAGACCAATTAAAATCATCAAAATTTTAAATCACTAAATAAAAATAAAAATAATTGAGGGATAAAAAAATATGAAGGACAAGAGAAGGGAATTATTATGTGAATCCCTAGTGATTCCTTAGCCTATTTGTTTCTATCTTTCAAAGTGTTTTTAAAATAATTTATTTATTTTTATTTTTTATTTAATTCAAATTAATATCTTTAATGTTTTCAAATCATTTTAATGTGTTTATGTTAAAAATATTTTTTTTAAAATAAAAAAATTATTAATATATATTTTAACATGAAAAGTTTCTTGAAAAATAACCATAACCACGTTGCCAAATAAACAATAAACTATCTTAATTTTTTTAAAATAATATAATTTTTTATTGATTTTAATATTTATTCTTTTATTTTCATTGTTTGATTGTATTTTTTTAGAAAGGGAAAGGAGGAAAATTTCACCTTTCTTTTTATTATTTATTATAAATCATTAGTATATTTTCCTAAATGGAGGAAAATAATAATAATTATTATTTTTAACATATGAGCATTTTACTGACAAGCCAGAACAGGCGTACATACTTATGAAAAATGGGGGGAAAACTTGATGGAGGAGGGGGATTAGATAAATAAGAAAAAGAGATTAAAATGGTCATAGTAAGAAAATGTAAGAAATAGAAAGATGAATTAATGCCAATAATCCATTAAAGTACAGTTTTCTTTCTTGAAGCTCCTCGCAGCTCTCTCCCTTCCCTGCGTCTAAAATGGTTTCAAGATACTGTAGAGCACTCTGTGTGTCTATTCAAAGGAATGGAGGGTTTTTGCTTAGCTCAAAATGATTTAAATTTTACAATAATGAGGAAAAATAGCCCATTGCTAACCTCCTATGCATATAATGGCCAAAATTCTAAGGTAATTTTGGATTGATGTACAAGGACAATCTAATTTTGGCCGAATTTCTATACAAGGAACCCTGGAGAGTGGAGACAAGGGGACTGTAGAGGTGGCGTTTTTTCCTTCAAAATTATCCTATATTATAAGATTGTTCTGTTCTTGTCTTGAATATTATTCTGTCGTGTTTTCAACGTCCATTATACTAATCTAAATGCTACTTATCACTTGACCCAACCCAACTCACAACCTCAGTACACAGAGAATTAAATTGAACTAAAAGAAACCTAAATTAGATCAAAGTTTTATTGTGAAAACATTTTATGTACACTCATTTTATTATGGATTCTCTCGGTGGTTTTTATTTTTTATTTTTTTGCCTGTAAGATTTTTTTTTATTACGGTTACTTATAAGTGATTTTTTAAAAAAAATTCATTTATTATTATTATTTTTATTTACTTTTTTTTATCAATATTGTGATATTGAATTGATAATCAATTTTACAGAAAACAAAAATTAGTTTTATTGCTTATGAAAAATAATATAAAATTTCAAGGACTAAATTTGAAGGAGCAACAACATAAGTTTTTTTTTTATTATTAATTATTGTTCAGGATGTGTATTTTTAAATATTTTTTCCTAAATAATTTCTTCACTTTTTTTGGTCTTTGAGTTTGAAAATTTAATATTTTAATCCTAAATTTTATTTTATTTATATTTTAGAATTTGAGAGAAAGAAAGTTGCTAGAAAATGATGAACGGAAGGAAAATTCATCCATTGATTACATCTTGACAACAACAACAAAAATTAATTTTAATATTAATGAGTTTTATTTATAGAGGGGAGTTCTATTAAGGTGTTTTAGAGCTTTTATCTTGAAAAAAAAAAAAGTAAATTAGGGTTGAGAAATTTTTTTGATTAATTTAATTTTGTGTTTTTTGGACTATTTGTAGGATTTTTGTGTTGAGAAATTAATTTGTTGATATTCTAATTGTATTTATTGGATTTTTTAGATAAAAATAAATTAAAAAACAAATTTTTAAATCCCAAAACCCCAGCATGGTCACCTCTTCGATGGCAAGATGAAATTGTTACAGTAAAAAGCCGATGGGAAGATATACAAGCCTCAGGGCTCAATCTAGGCTTCCAGCCAAGATGGATTTAAAGGGTTCTCGGGGAGCTTCAATTGGAGGACCCTTTGCTCAAAATATTGCTTCCAAATAAGAAGAAAAGGAAAGAAAGCCACGAGGAAATCTGATTCCATAGTTAAGACAAACCCTTTGTTAATTTTACTTTGCAATAGACTTAGCTCAACATTGTCAAGCCACTCACGATGTTTGCTTTATGTTTTTTTTCTAAAAAAAGAAAGCGTGGATGTCATCCGTTCCTTGTAAAAAATAAAAAATAAAATAAGTGTGTCGGCCTAACCTTACAAGCTCAAATGCATCAAACCTTTATATTTGTTGCTGGGATGTTTAGGCTTGGTTCTTTTCTTCTTTCTTTTTTTTTCTTTTTGTTTTGTTTTGATTTAAATGCATTGTAAAAAGATGCTTTCCCTGTTATTTCATTTACTATTTAACTTCGTCAAGGATCTTAAATAATATTATAGGTTTTTATAGGGATGTTAATAAATTGTTTTTCAATTTTATATACTAGATATACAAAAATTAAAAAAGAGCTTGTGGATGTTTATTTAAAATCAAATTTTGTTTAATAGATTTTTTATATATTTTGTCATATTTATTAATTTTCCTTACCTTAATTCACATACAAAATAAATTATTTTTAATCTTGCTTTTAAGTTCATGAAATGTTTTTTTTTAAATGGTTCTCGAAGTTAAAAAAAAATGCATGTTTTTGCTAAAACAATAGAGAGATGTATTAATAAGAAACTGGAGTTTAGATTGAAAAAAATACATTTTTTTTATTTATTTTAAATGGTTTAAATTTTTTACAAACTTCTATTTTAATTTTTACTACCCTTTATTAAAAAAGCATTTTCTTGATAAAAAAAAAACTATATCATTGTTTTAAAAAAGATTAAATTTTTTTTACAATGATATTACCATTGTTTTATTCTGGCTCTCCCAACAATGGAAGCTTTCAGCTTGCTAAGGATCTGGAGAGGTGGTGGCGGTGGCGGTGGCGGTGGCGATGCTACTATTGGTAGTGCTGTAGTGTTGTGGGTGCGATGGAGAAGGTAATTATATAACTTGCGCGCTACCACAATTGTCACTGTTGTGTCTCCGAACTGCGCGGAAACTGATGATGAGAATGATGACGATGATGGGCCTTTTTTTGACTTGGAGTTTGCAGTTCCTGACGAAGAAGAAGAGGAAGGAGCAGAAAGCAAAGATGAGATAAAAGAAAACAATGGTGCTGGTTCTGATGAGGAAAACGATGCTGCTGACACTTCTGGTGATGATGATGATGGGATGGACGAAGAGAGGGAGTTCAATTTCACTCTCTCTTCGGCGTCTAGCAATGACAGGAGGGATCAAAATCTTGCTCTTTCTCCTTCCGATGATTTGTTTTTCAAAGGAAGGCTTGTGCCGATTGAGTCATCCTCGCTTGAGCTGAACTCCAAATCCTCTCAGTTTTCGGTGTCATTGCTAAAATCTGCTACAAAATTTCGCGTCTTCATGTCGGGATTGAAGAGAAAACCAAACACTACAACAACAAATGAAAAGACAGAAGCTAACGTGCCGACATTAGCTTCTGCTGCTCTCTGCCATTACAGACAAAGATGCATCCATATTTTTTTTGAATTAATTATTAACAAATGCTTTAATTTGTGGATTCTTATTGTTGTTGGCAGATCTTATGGTATCAAATTTGTTTTGCCTTTCAGTTTCTGGAGAGGTGGGATTCTCAAGATGATGAGATGTAACAATAATTGATTCTTGGCTTTTAGGGTTTTTATACGGGGGAAGAAAATCAAATAGGTGGCGTTTTTGTTATTTTTTTGGATTATTGTCTCTTCAGTTGTTAAATGGAAAATAATTATTAAACGCACTAAAAAAATAATATTATATTTTTTTATTTTATTAAGTCAGTATTTTATTTTTTTTATTTTATAGATAGCATTTTTGTTATTTTAATAAGTCGATATTATATTTTTTTTACCAAGAAAATTAATTTCTTAGTTAGATGTATTTCATTTCATTAGTTTTGTATACAAGAAGCATGCATGTGTGATCCCATGATTAATTTTTTTAAAAAGGAAACTGTTTTTAAGATCAAAATAATAAATTTGTTTAAATTTCTGATGAATTTTCAAAAATCCAATAAAGAAACAATGCTGGGAATTTTTATTTGCAAACCACACACAGAACATTAAAAAATCTACATGCTAAGCCCATGAGGGCTGGAATGGACTTGCATCAAAGCATTATGGATTATTCATGGGCCCTGCATCCTATATCATGCAAAAACATTCTAATTTTAGGCCCTCTTTCTTTTCTGGGATAGGCTAGGCATAGACCCATAAAATCACAAAATACAATAAATAAATAAATAAATCCCAACATTTTATTTTTCATTTTAATTTAATAGCGAAAGACAGAAACTTGGACCAGCTTGGCTAACCCGGTTCCCTGTTGGCTCGCTGCTTTCATAACAAATGCTAGCAATTCGACCGATCGAAGAGATAACTTAATCTCACATCATCGGCTGTAAAAGCGAAAGTGAAAAATAAATTGCTAGTGGAGGAGTAATAGCTCTCTCATGGTGCTGCTGAGTCAACATTGATTACTTTTAAAATAATATTATTTTAATATATTTTAAAAAAAAAATTAAAATAACATTATTATGAATGAAAAATTCAATAGAATTAATCAGGTGTATTTCATGTATATTTTATTGAGTCAACCGAGTAATTAGTTGGCATAACAAATTATACAAATTTAACCAGGTTTTTTTTTCAAAATAATTAGAGAAAAAGAACTTGGCTCTAATCATGCTTTAGATTACTAAACCACCCAATTAACATGTTGGATTATTTAAGTTTAATAATTACTAGTATTTTTACCTGTATTTTATTATGGGTTAAATTATTCTTTTTTTTTAATTTAAATTTAAGAGCATGGAGATATTTTTACAGTACCATTAAATTTTATTAAACAATTTAATTTTGAAACTTGTTAATACAGCTTCTTATCTAACTTGATTTTTAAATTAAATCGTGTGAGAATTGATTCAAAGTGAATTATTAAATTTAATAGGTTCAAAGACAGTTCAGATAACCGATAAAATACATGACATAACTTTATAAAAAAATTTAAAATAATAATTTTTTTTTGTATTGAAACGATACCAGATTGAATCGATCTTGATCACCTTGCTACGTGAATTATAGATTTTAGTAGGTTTAATAACTTTGTTGTTTAAAGGCAATGCAAATAACCGATAAAACACATGACATAACTTTATAAAAAATTTTAAAATAATAATTTTTTTTGTATTGAAACGATGCCAGATTGAATCGATCTTGGTCACCTTGCTACGTGAATTATGGATTTTAGTAGGTTTAATAACTTTGTTGTTTTTATAAATTATTTTTGTTTAATTTTATGATAACATTAGATGCTTTCAAAATTGAGAAATCAACTCTAAAAAAACATTTATTTGAAATTATGATAATCTTATAGAAAATAAAAAAAAAATCATAAATTTTATTTATCAACCAATCCATTAAAAAAATTAAAATAGCATAAACGAAAAATAACACATATTAGGTTTGATGGATATAGAAAAATTAAAATAGCATAAAAAAAAAATAACACATATTAGGTTTGATGGATAGACTCACTAAACCAGTAAATTAGATAACCTGAGTCAACATATTAAATCTGCAAACCAAGTAATAGACTTATTGGGATTAATAACTTATTTTTTTAAATTACTGGTTATTTAACTATATAATAACAAAAATAGACGATTGTAAAATCGAACGTTAAACTAATACCAATTTTTTTTTAAAATTATAATAACCTCATAAAAAGTAAAACGAAACAAATTATAAAACTTATTTTTTAATTAGTTCAATATCAAATGATAAAATAAAAAATTAATTTATAAAAAAATGTTAAGCTCCTCATATATGTCAACAGGTTCATGAACTTTTTAAAATTCAATAACATGTTTTTTTTTAATATTTTTTAATTATATAATAAAAAAAACATTTTTATAAATAAAAAATTAATTTATAAAAAAAGTTAAGCACCTCATATATGTCAACAGGTTCATGAATTTTTTAAAATTCAATAACATGTTTTTTTTAAATATTTTTTAATTATATAATAAAAAAAACAATTACATAATCGAGCTCATTGAAAAAAAAAGGTGTCATGCTAAACCCACCAACCTGACAACTTGGGTTACCTAATAAACCAAGTCATTGACTTTACAAAACTTATTAATCTATTTTTTTAAAATTATTTTATAATTAACCAAAACTTTTTTAAATAACGATGTTGAGATATTTTGATGCTGTAATAACCATATAAAAAATTAAAATAAATTATCAACTCTAAACCCCATAAATATATTATATAAGGTATAAAGAATAAATTAAAAAAAATAACTAAAAACAAATGGGTAAAAAAAAAAAAATATATTATATAAGGTATAAATAATAAATTAAAAAAAATCAATAACTAAAAACAAATGGGTAAAAAAAAAAGCCAATGAATTATTATTATTATAATCCACGGTATCAATGGATTTTCCCCCAGCTTTATTTATAATAATAATAATGTCGGGAACAGGCTAATGAGGTATGAAAGGAGCCGAGCTGAGCCGAACAACGTGACAGAGGATACATGGATTGCCGATATCTTCTCTAGTTCTAGTATCGTTTGTCATGTAAGAAAATGCAACCCAAAGGAAATTGGATAAGGATTTAAAGGCCCACCTTTCATTTCCCTCTCTTTAGTCTTTACTGGCCATTTATTACTCAATCGGCAGCTCTCAACACTTTCACCAGACAGACAGACTGAAAAAAAAGAAGAAAAAAAAATCTCTTTTTATTTTTGAGGTGGAGGTACACTTCTTGCTTGATTCTTTGTTAATGGGTCATAGAATTTGATGCTTCTTTATGTGTTCCTGTGACTTTGCATTGTTGGCTGTTTTTTATCTTGTGGGTTTTTATTATAACCTGCCAGTTTTGCCTTGTTTGTGGTTGTCAGCCTTTATCAAGTTTTTCTATTTGGTAATGCTTTCTGTTTGTCGAAATGAGTGTCTAGTCTTTGAATATGAAGATATTATATATATATTACAGCCCTCTTCTTTTGAATGTTATAATATCTTCTTAGTGCTAGTGTTCAAATGAGTGGTTTCATTTGAATTAGGAGTTTTCTGCTAGATTTTAGAATTGTTTGTGCATTGAGGTTTATTCAGCTATATGGCTAAAGATATTCTAGAAAGGGCCAGTCAGTTCAAATTTCCCATTGAAGACAATAATTTGACTCGAAAATTATGATAATTAATCAAGATATTGGAATTTTGATGCACTTACTCTATTGAAGTTGACCGTTTGCAATTCGCTGGAGTTCAGTATAAAACAGACTTATCCAGACATTTTGAGTTTCCCATTTTTATTCGTGACAGAATTCAGAACTTTGTCTGATTACTTGGCCAGTTTTTGTCTACATGAGTTCATGTCACAGAATCTTGATAGAAAACAATTTAAGCTATGTATGTTTCATGTAAACCTCAATCTTGGGGATGGTTGTGTAGAATGGAGTGCAATGTCTAATGCTTTGATGAAATTGTTTCAAGTTAGGCATTTGGGCATGATGGGATTGAACCAATATGAACTACCAACTAACCTTATCAGACAGGATGAACTTGAAGAGGAATTGTTTTTGCCAACAGTGTTAATGAGCCAGAGTTTTCTGCGTGAAGTTCAATGGTTCTTGCCGTTTTGAAGTTTGCTATTGTTTATTCTGCTACTGAAAAACCAAGACTTGATTTCTTTTGCTGTAATTAGGCCTGTTATTACCAGATACATTGACTGAGACATAGCTGATGTTGTCATCTGTTGATTGTGTGCTCACAGCTGTTAGCCTGTGATGTGAATTACTGAACATGAAGCTCATTTCAGGAGAAAATTTCTTTATATGTTTCCGGACTAGTACTTCTGTATGTGATTGCAAAGTGTTGATTGTTCACTTATAGTACTTTATCCTTGTTTATGATTGTTAAAGATATTTTGCATCTGATTTTTGCGCAAGTGGTAACTGGAACTTTCATCTTTTAGTTTCAGGGAAGATCAATAAAGTCCAGTGCATCTATTTTTCATTTCTGAACAGGTGAAGATTGGGATGAAAAGTTTAGTTTAGCTGCAGCGCAAACTTTGCAATTCAAGTAAACATGACACCTGTGCTCCCGTGTTCTACAAGTAATATTTGTCTCATTCCTGGAACTGCTTTTTCAATAAAGAAGAATAATAGTCTCAAAAATGGAAGTTTGTCGAGGAAATCTACAAAATATGCATCATCCTCACAAAGACTTGTGTTGCCTCTTCCTGGTTTTGTTAAGTTGTTCCCACAATACCACAGGGATTGTGCTATGGTCCATAGATCTGGAGCGCATACTGTATCAGCCACAGGGACTGATGTAGCAGTAGAGGAGCCGGATTCACCTGTTGTTGATAAAGATTCTGATGGGGTTACGGAGATTCCAGCAGATGCAGTTGAAACAATTGATTCCTCCACAAAAGCAGGTTCAAGTCCTGCTCCAGCTCAATCTAGTCGTTCAAAGGGCAGTAGGAAAAGTGAGATGCCACCTGTAAAGAATGAGGACCTGGTTCCTGGTGCAACATTTACGGGCAAAGTAAGGTCAATCCAGCCATTTGGTGCTTTTGTTGATTTTGGAGCTTTCACAGAT